CCTAAATGAGGTTATACCTTAAAGAAAAATGGGTGCACAGCTCCAAAATTTGGGGCACCAAGGTGCACATGCACCCAGTATTTCCAGCCTACTCTTCTTACCTGTCCTGAACCAAAGACCTTCTCCTTGGTGTAGTTCTTGAGGCAGTCCACACAGAACAGGTGTCCGTCGTAACACTGGACCATGTCCTCAAATGCAACAACTCCCTCCCAAACCTACCAACATGTCAGAAAAGTCTTATTAAGACGGATAGCAACGTTTGAAACAATTGCGAAATATACAATCACATTTTCCTTTTCTTCCGAACCCCACACTTTCTTAATGGCTGTTACTTACCATTTTCCAAACATATGCTTGCCGTAAGAAGACATCTGCATCCTTCGTCAGGTGTTGTGAACTTTATGAGTGGTATTTTGGTGGTTTTGAGTGGATAAACGTAGATGAGATACAATGATCAATTTAACACCGGGTTTGATACTAAACGCTAAAAGTTGTTGAAGAAATGACTGACTACAAATCATAAAGTCAACGGCTGATGACAGGTGAAAAGTTGCTGGTTTGTGATCTCGAACTTGTCGGCAGGAAGCTTATACATGTGTTGCCTGTCTTTAAAGTATGGAAAACAGTCAGAATCACCGTCCATATGAAAATCACCTGTATGTGTAATCGCTTACGTCTCCAATTCAAGTATTGAAATCGCCACCAAGTAGAACAAATCCGATAGAACTGTATTTACTGATATTTCATCTTCAAGAATATGATGTTCTGAGCATCTAGTGATATAGATGTTTATATTTTTACATAATATTTGTACTCATTTTTATAGAGAAAGAAAATTCTTCCCGATGAACGTTTCACTCGCTTACTCTTTTGTCTATGTTGGTAAAAGAATAGCTATAGTTGGTAATATTTATTATTATGTTGCTTGTGCTCCAGGTTTCCAGAAACGAGAAAAATTTTAACTTTTTGACTTAAGACCGAAAATCGAAAACTTCCAATTTTGTGCCTAATCCGTGAATATTCCAGACGCTTTTTGGTTCCGTCTGAAAATGCTTTCATATCGTTACACACGTTCTTTAGGACAAAGGAAAAGTAAAATAGTGTCTTATTAAATAGAAAAAAAATTACAAGGTATGGTTATCATGGCATGATGAACATATTGCCAAAAAACAACAAAAAAAGTAAAACAATAAGACGCCCCTTCTCCAAGTCCGACAACAGATTAAAAGTTACATCTGGTTCTTCTTCATCGTCTTATACAATATAACACTTTGTGTCCCTGTATACCATTTCGCCTCTTTCCCCCGTCCTGAGTTGCAGTGTAACACTTGTTTTACTTGACAAGCCACTAGTTTACTTGGATCTTTTATGTACTCGGGCAATGACCGTTTCTGTTTCTTCACTTCCGTTTTCTCCCTCTCGTCCAGCAGCTTGCAAATAAGTTTGGTTCGGACATCTTGGACACTACGCATCATTATGTCTGGTTCCTTCAACTTCACATACTCTGTGTCCTCTTCCTCCTCAGAGCTACTTTCAAAACTTGTTGTCATGTTGTTCCAGAGGACCTTGAGATGTTCAATCTTCTCTGAACTGGTGAATGTGTGTTTCTTCTTCCCTGTTTTTAGTGACTGTCCTTGAAAATGTTCTTTCTGTCGCAAAATTGACGAGCAAGTGCATTCTACAGATTGAAGTGATTACACATGTTCGAAAGTTCATCCTTCACTTCATCTGCGAGTGTTTCCCACTTGTCTTCCACAACGGGGAGCGGCTCTCTCCTCATCCCCTCTAGCTGCTTGTTGAATAGTCGGTTCGTCGCGCCTTGATCAGATTTCGTCGCTATGAAGGATGTGATTACCTGGGCATTTTTCTTTGCTACATACCCACCAGGATTACACAGCACTTCAGCCAGCTCCTTGCAGGACTCAGAGAAGCAGCGGCGTCCACTAGGGATTTCTGACATGCTCAATGTTGAAGTCCTTCCAGATGGTAAAGTTACATCAAATGTTTGATATTTACGGAAGATTTCGACGTCCCATCTTGGTGCAAGCAGTTATCCAGGCCACGGCAGCGAAAATTCGCCGTGTACGGGTCGGACACGCTGATACTACCCCCCCCCCTTCGACCGCCTCCACACCTAGCCCTCGGGACCGTTGCCCCTGCTCCCGTACGCCCCGCTACCGTTCCCCCTGCTTTTGGGACCCGTTGCCGCCTTTATACCCTACATATATTTTGGTATTACAGGAACACATTTCTTTTATAAAGGAATACAATATGCTTAATTCATTATTGAAAATTTTAGTCGTATTAACAAAACCATTTATTCTTTCTCCGTGGCTGCAGGAGCTCTTACCCGCCCGATCAAGCTAACTTTCTCTGGTATGTTTTTCACAACGGAAAGCAATTAAGTTGCGCTTGTTTTCATAGTTTAAAGATTTGCACCGTACATTCAAAATGCAACATGCCAGGAAGTGTCCTCAAATGATAATTAACATAAAGCAAAGACTAAAAACAAGTAAATCCTAACATTGCTAGTAGTTGAAAGAGAAGATAGAACACAAAAATAAACAACGCTTACATAAACAATGACTTGAAAACTACACAAAAGTCAAAGGTCCGGTCATTTTCTCAGAAACTACAAGTTGAAATTACAAGGAAGTAAGTGAGATTTTCTCTAAGTCGGAAATGTCCTATCCCTCAACAAATGAGGCTTCGTTATAGCCCTCAAGGCAGCGCGGAGACATGGTGTCGTCTCTGAAGCTTAACCTCCGCCCAGCTGATGGTCTGTGGGTTGGTGGCATGGGGTGTTGAGGCCACAATCACCTCCTGGGTAAACGGAGTCAGCAATGTACATTTTCTAAGTCAAAGTCATTTATACATTATTCTTAGAAATGTACGCAATTGCAGCTGATGGAATCATGCGTAGGGCATGTCTGTTCTTATGTTATATATATTGAAATTGTATACCTTAGTCTGCCCCATTCCTTTTACCTCGGCGACATTAATTACGGTTCTCAATTCTGCACATGGTTCATACTGAACAGTGTAAAACAGCGATCGGCCCGGTCTACCTCCCCAAAAAGTAATGACGGCACCTAGACTGTCTACGCAGGAGATTAAATTGTAACGAGAAGACACAAGCTTGCATTGAACCATGCCTTGAGCTCAATAAGTAATGACTTAATTTTAAACGCAATGGAACGATATCGGCTGTTCGAACGACGAACAGCCAGACCCGTCCGTATGATGCGATTGTTGTACGTCGATGGAAAGTTCATAGATTTGAACGTACGACCGTCCGATACAAATAAATGATGGGGCATACTTACTTTCATGTCCAAAAATGCCAGGTGCCCTTTTCCAGCTTCTGTTAAAGTCAGCACGCTCAGTGTGACTGAAACAGAAAGAGAACAAATAGGATGTTGTATTGTCCCACAAAATCTTTACATGTTGACGAGCCAGAATTTACAAGAAAGTTGCAGTGGTTTGGACGCGTGTCCCGAACCAAGACACCCCACCACAGGTGTAAGACTGGGGCGTCTTTACGTCGGCCATGAACCAGCGACTTCGCTATATACACATGGTCAGACCAAAGCATCTGTTCAAACTGACGGGGTCTGCGGGACGAACGTCTGCTCAACGCTGTGGTGCCCGCACAGGTACCCACTGTGCTACCTCTCTACGAGACAGATAGGTAGCGTGTCTGTATATTCAGTTTACATTTCGGTGCAGTACTATTTCGATAATTTAAGAGTAATGGATACTAATGAAATTAAAGCATAAAATATAAGCTGGCTCATACCTCCATTGAAGTCGGCAGGTTTCTTGGAAGGCAGGGCATAGGGGACGTCCGCCGACCAGAAGGCAGGTCTCTTGGCGGGATCGCCGTACCCGGGGACGGCCGTGTCCGGCCTGAGAGTCCGGACCCATGCTGGTAGCAGCTGGCGGATTTCCTTGTTACCGAGCTCGGCAATAGGTCTGCTCGGTTTTTTGAAGAATCGCCTTGGAGACGACCAGTGCCCCGATGCCATCATCAGCTGAAAAGTCAATAATTATATTTAACACCGATCTACGAGCGCAAACAACATATCTGAATGTACGAAAATATGTTAATAACCGTCTGTATGGTATCAAGCTGGATCTTTAGTCCTCATCGTGGAGGTTTCTTGAGAGAACATAAAACAACGTCTAAATCGAAATGACCACTTGATAAAATATAGAGAGGTTTATTGCAAATCAGTGCCCGAAGGCTAATTGCAAGTTACAAACAAAACATAATGACACGGGAGACTTCATCTGTGTCTCAGCTTGTTTCACTTAAATGATATGCACATAAAGTACATATATCTTTCTATTTACAGTTCTCGACTTTAAGTATTGTTTGTCATGGTTCCACTTTGGAAACAAAGAAGCAGGATTTTTGTCATAATGGAAACACAACAATGTTCATTCATGTATTATGTAACAAGAGCAGGAAAACAAGTCTCATAACTACTCAATGATCATTTGAATTCCTGTTCAGGTTGTCCCAGACTGCAGATGCCAGATGGAGGTGGGTTGGCAGGTGGTGCGTTGTTGGGTGCGTTGACGTTGTTGGGTGCGTTGACGTTGTTGGGTGCGTTGACGTTGTTGGGTGGCCTGCTACAGTAACTTGGCCTGATCCATCAGTGGCTTTGGTGGTAAAGGGAAGGAGGTCACACTTAATCTCCATCTTAGGGAGCAGATTTTTTCAATTGCCCGTGAGGTCTTCTCAGATTCCATGGATATACCGTGCACCTTAAGCCACCTTTGAACAGAAGTTGGGAGGAACTGAGATAGAGCAACTATACTGTGAACTGACATAGTAGATAATAGCTTAGTTTGGTTTGTTGAAAATGCATGCCTTTGGCTATAAATCATTAATTATAAATTGTCAGTAAATAAGTGCTACTATACATACATGCCCAACTTTATCTAAATCACAAAATTGGCAAATCCTTTACTATACTAGCTAACAATAAATGCATATACATACACAACCATAGACAGTCTATTCCACAGATCTTTTCCAAGGAGACGGATATATGCACATGTTGCTAACTGAGAAATAAAAGTTAGGCCACAGCAAGCTATCCTTCCTAGACTCCAAATCTAATGGGAGCGGCCGAAAAAAAGTTTGTCTCACCCTGATTTGCTGCCATATTGAGACTCCACAACAGTTGAAGTGGCTCGTAACAAAAAAACGATCAAAACTGCGTAGGATGGTCGACATCAGGTTGGTGAGGAAATGAGAAAATTGCGCGTTATGTGGCGCTTGTTTGTTTGTTTATTAAGGAATCTCCATTAGTGATAATATGTACATCACTACTCTTCCTGGAGTCCTATACAACATAAAAATACAACTATTATTTACATTTATATTACTTCAATTGCTATTATGCTTCAGAAAAACTTATCTTAACAACAATTTTTAACATCAATCATTACATCAATCATTACAACAATGTTACACTATACAACCATCCATCAATAATGTTACACTATACAATTAACCAAAAACAATTTTATAATAGATGTCTGAGAGGTCAGAGGTCAAGAGATTGTGCATAATATATTTAAAAACATTTACCACCAGGAGTTAATTGGTGTGTGTTTGTTTTTATGTGTTTTTGTCCAATTCCAGATTTTTTCTTTAAACGTTCGTGGGTTTGAGGATGTGATGTGAGTAGGCAAAGTGTTGTATGTTTTAATGCACCTGTGTACGAATGTCCGAGTCATGGCGTTGGTTCTAGGTTTAGATTGCTGGAATGCTCCTTTTTGTGCCAGTCTAGTGTTGTGCGAATGTGCCGAATTAATTGTTTTTTGTCTATTGAAAATATATCTAGGCTGTTTCTCTCTCACTAATTTATGGAATGTGTTGATTGTGCCGGTAAACAATCTCTCTTTGACTGAGGGCCAGTTTAACTGGGTGTGTAAGATATCTAAGTCGGCATCCCAACGTGCACCTGTTGCCAGGCTAGCCGCTCGATTCTGCACAACTTGTAGTTTGGCGCTTCACCCAGGCAACGGAGAGCGCACTGCGCAGGCCCAGTGATGACGATTTTTATTATTGGTAGCTACATGCAAATTATTGGAAGCTAGATGTAAAATTATTGGAAGCCATGCGCAAAATTATTCGCGGGCAAATCACCCAACGAAGGACCACCTGCTTTTTGATTATCAGTTGCTGACTGTGACGTCGTGGCGATCACATGCAAAACAGGAGAATTTTTTTTTCAAAGATTAAAAGTCGAATTAAGGTGGTGCTAGTGCATTGTTTCAAAACTGGGCAACTAATCCTCCTATAACCACACTGGTGACGCGTCCCTGCCACAAGATGCACCCCCTGTCAGCCTGACACCATATCGGCTATTCTTTTCCGTAAAATTGACCTGTAGGCCTCGCTCCATGAGCTATTATACTACTATTTGCAAAGCTATGTAACTTTATTAATCAACCTTGAACTTGTTGTTCATTCAGGGCGCAAATTGAATTGAAATACTTTATTCAAAAAATAAAACATTTAGATATATTAACTTCTCCTGAAGGGTGGTTTTCTGTACAATATGGCTTGGCTTAAACAGTACGCAACGGTCCAGGAGGGACGTTGGTTCAAAACTTAAAAAAATGTTTCGTTATAATATGGCATAACTTAAACATGGTGGTTTTCTACAAACAGTGGTTATCTGTAGCACATTAAACTCAAGATCGAAATAATCATACAAACTCCGTTTTAAGATAGGCAGCATCTTGCTGCTCGCCAGCTACCGAGTCGTGAAGGCCTTCTCGAATCGTTTTACGTCACCCATTTTAAGAAGACCTGTCCGCTGTGATCTGCAGTCGCCCCTCCATATGACAACCTCAAACTCTAAAAATCAGAGACAGATCAGCATCCATGTAATTCCTCAAACCCTACCCACTTCAGAAGATACAGCTGTGTTTATGGTTATAGTTAACCATTATCTATTATTAGTGTCTTCTTTATTTCCATCTTCATTGTGCCAATGAATAAGTGATTTTTCCTCATTAAAATGAGCCTTTTCATAAAATGATAATTGGTTCTGCACAACTTACTTGGTACAGCTTGGCTGCTTTATCTTCTTCCACAACGTCGTCAGTCGTCGACCTCCCTTCCTCGGTAGTTTCGCCCCCATCTCGTCGAGACTTCCTCTGGGAGGCGGGGCAGTGACGGTGGCCAGTCGTCACTCGTTGTGGCTTCTCCAGTTCTTATCTCTGCTCCTAAGCCATACCCAGCGTGACGCTGCTTCTGCTACTTCTCCTAGCTTCTTCACGGTGTCTTTCCTATTCTTGCCTCTCATCCCTAGAGCCCCCAGTGTTCTCCATACTGACTGGCTGAAAAAAGCTCCGCACCCTACTCCTATCGGGTAGCACTAGGCTTTCCGTCCTTTATCTACGCAGCATGGGCGGAGGTCTCTGTACTCCTCTGCTTTTCTCTCGTGGGCTTCTTCTAACCTGTCCTCCCACGGCACGGTGAGCTCCAGCACGACTGCCAGCGCTCTAAGGACCTTGTCGTGCCTCCACCGGAATCTCCCTTGTCCTAAAGCAACGGAGCAACCTGTTAATACATGACTCAATGTCCCTCGTTTGCCTTACATTTTTCATCACTTTCCTTTCCCCATCTCTTGAGATTTATGGGGTGGGGAGCAGGTCATACAGTGACTTTAGTAAGAACTGTATTTTCATGGGCTCCCATGCCCAGAGGTCCTTCCAGGTTATCTTTCTCTCTCTGGCCTGTTCCCATTTTGCTTAGTTGTGACATACAATATCAGACCACAATAACCTCTCTTAAAAAAAAAGGAAAATGTATATGGCAAAGGGATCAAGATGTAGGAAGATTGACAAAGTGCACCTCTTGTTCACAACAATGGGGAGACCTCTTGTCATCTTCAAGAACACTCTTAGGTCTCCACAGGCGGCAGACCTGGACGATTTTGCCGTCATTGTCGGAACAAGACATGCCTGGGACCAACCCGCTCCGCAAGATCGCCTGTGTTTTTCTTGACCGTCTTTCTCTCGCTGTTACCCATCTTCAAGGTTTTGTCAAGTCTTTGTTTGTGCATTTTGGGTGAGAACCAGGGACGATTGGGAGTCCTTGTCGTCACACCTCGCATTTGGCTGGCTATCAGTGACCATGGATAGCAACATCTTTTTCCCGTGTCATGTTCAAACAATGGGCAGTCTTCTGGACTTTGCATTGGTTAGATTATTGCAACTTTCGTTCTGTCGACACTCTGGCTGTCTTTTTAGTCCCGCCTCTTGACTTCCGCCAGAATTGTGCATGTGAGATAGCAATACAACATACACAATGCCTGAGACTTGTATTATTATCTTGTCATTAATAGACATCTGTCAACAGCATCGTATTTTTGCAACATGAAATCAAGACATAATGACCTACCAGCTGGCTCATCCTGGATGATAATCGATGTTGACCACTTACTGGTTGATGTTGATAACTGGCTCGTCTTGGATGTCATTATTAATTATTAATTATTATCCCTGTAGAGACAAAGGTCCTAGAACGCATGGTTCTATTTGTTAGAAAACATATAGCGACTTCATCGTATTACATGTATAAGAAGTCCGACACCACATGTTTTTCAAAGATATACAGCGCAAAGGGAAGCGTAAAACAGATGATGCTGAATAAGCTACTACGCGAATTGTGCAGCATGGCTTTTTTCTCCAATACCTCCCTCTCACTTCATGGAGGATGTCAACTATACATCGTGCTTGGAAAAAGTGTTCAATTTCCGTTTTCCATGTCAGTACTTTTATTTTCATGCGATATCCCTTCTTGTAGTTGTTTAATGATTGTCCTCTTGTGCGACATGCACATTTGTTGCCTGTTTAGTCGTTGAAAACCGACCTTTTCCCCTGCTCCTAATAGTACGAAACTGTTTCTGTACTGTAGTGCAGACAGGGTCGGAAAGGGAACGCGGAGACAGATGCTTGCTGTAGTAACAACAGCTATATCTGCACTGCCAGGCTTCTGTAGCCGGATGTGTTTCTGGTGTCCATGGTGCCTCTTTCAATTTCCTCCTTCACGTCAGCAATGCTGAATTTCTTCAGGTCCTCACAGGTAGATTGCCCCAGGATGGTGGTTGGTGCCATGTTTTCCCATCTTTTAGAATTGTGGTTCTTACCTGTTAACTCCTCGTGCCCCATGATGTCTTTTAAAGCCTGGCCCCTATATCTTTTCGGTTATGTCGTTTTTTCTGCCGCCGTAACACCTTCCGTTAGACACGTCCTCGCTGTTGGAACGCCAATTTCCCATGCTTCCATGTATTCTGTGCTTCGGACGTGTGAAACGGTAAGCCAAAGGCGTGCGTTCAGAAAGGTGTCTTGGATTGGCGCCAGACTTGCACTCTTTCTGATGTAGAAGTAAGTCTGTCTGCGGCATAGTGTGTCAAATTTCCTATTTACCGTGTTGAGATATGGGACAAGGGTGTTGCCTCCCATGGCATACTCCTGAAAAGTTGTCAACAAACTGCTTGTGTTAAGGAAATCTGCAACTACCATCCAAAAATCACAAATGAGAACACAAATTACAAGAATTAGAAAATGCATAAAATGTCCAAAGGATATAATAAGCATAATTGTTAACGATAGTGCAATTACAGAATAAAAATATGGAGGTATATTACATTCACTATTTTTATGATGAACGTTAAACCCCTCTAATGTATTCAACTACACAATTTATTTTATATGAGTATGCTAGAAATCATTACCTGTTGTCAATGTTCTGTAGCAGGTCTGCCGACCTGTCGTACATGTGCCGGTATATGGAAGATTAAAATGAGCAAATGACTTACCCTGTATGACTAAACTACAGTAGCCTCTGGGTGCTGGTTGTTGGTCACCCTCTCAGACAGGAAGTGATTCATGCGTTCGTAGATAAACATTCAGTACGGGAATGAAATTGTTTTGGCCTAAAGGATTAAAGGATTTGGTAAATTATTACTAGTACGATAAATATTTGTATAGTTATAGA